GGTTGACACATGACAGTATGACACCTGGTCGTCTGGTTGAAGGCAGAAGCTTCGGATGATTTATCGAGCCGAATCTTTTGAAAACTCAGAGATGAAAAATGCAGCTGGCTACACCAAGTCATCAACGCAGTTACATCCTTCTAGCTACTTCTCTTTTGGGAAAAGGTAGAAGACCGATGCTGGCGAATGTTGCTACCTAATTAAGTACGAAGTGAGGCCATGGAATCTGGTTCTTGCCATTAAAGAAGCTTTTAGCCTTGATGCCATTGATGTGGGCTTGGCACAGCTTGGAAAAGAAACAAGAGCTTGTTGCTTACGGAAGATAACAAAGGAATCCTCGAGCAGAGAAGTCGCGCTGGGAACTACACGTACATGTCCGCGAATCAAAATGAGTTATATTCTTTGAATAGCCAGAAAACGGAACATGTATGATCGCTGTGAAGTATCAGGAGATGACGTGAAAATTCACAATTCTCGCCCATGCCAGAAACTTCATAAAAAAAGTAACACCTCCCAGGTATCTCCTAAATAAATCACTAAGCTACACTTAAAAAGGCAGCGTCTTTTTTTTTTCTAAAAAAACTTCCAATCTATTCCTCAACTGTCAAGGTAGCACAAAAAATAGCAGAAATAAAAAATATATCAAATCCGTATACTACCTAGCGATGACTATAAGTACTGGAGCAAGCCGAAGGCGCGCCACTGTCATTCCCCCTCCCTCATCGGAGCCGAACAAACCTTCTTGTAGTAGACAGTCGAAAAATCGCCGTGCTAAGACCCCATAGGACCAAAGCACTAGAACAACAACCATTGCCGATGAAGAGAAGCGTAGATTCGAAGAATCCAACCTGTAGACACACGTAGACACACATTCACATGGATCCAACGAAGACAAACGCCGACCGAATCTCATGGGATCCGCCGGAGACAAACCTCCACACGCCCTCCAATGGTACGATGCTAGAAACACCACTGAAATAGGGGCTAGGCGAGGAGGACCTCAATCCATCTACAGAGAGCCGCCGACACCTGGCATCTCTCAGCAGGACACAAACTCTAACAAAACATCAAAAAACGGAGCCCCCCGCCAGCAAGGGCGGGATCCACTGCTGGAATTTAGTCTATTTTGGACAACCCAATAACTATTTCAGAAATTCCTAAATAAATTCTAGAGGCCCACTTAGCCCATTCGTGTAAGGCAAGGGATACTACTAAAGTTTAGTCCCACATTGCTAGTTTAGTGGGAGTTGGACCTCCTTATAAGGGAGGTTCTTTCCCTACTTGTATGAGCATGAGAACAAAAGGGACATCCACGCGCGCTCCTCCTGCACCGCCCGCCGCGCCGCGATGCGGGTTGCGGGAATGAGCCGAGCCAATGTCTAAATTTTTGCCACGCATTACGGGTATATGAAAGGTCACTCGGGAGCTGGAAAGTTTTTGCTATAGTGGATATTGAATACGAACGTTGCACCCTTCAGATGCTGCATGTTCGTTTCGTCTCCGTCGTCCCCTTCAGCTCCCGGCGCAGCCTCTCGCCTCCTTCTCTTGCGCCTATAAAAGGGAGGTCGCTCCTCTCAGAGAGACGCACCAGAACTTCTTCTTCCTCTCGCCACCTATTCCAATCTCTGAGTTGCTGCTGTCTTTCTCATCCCAGCTTGCGGCGTGCACCGCGAGTCGGGACAGTGGGCCTCCGAAACCGCACCTCTTTTAGTCCTATATGGGAGAAGGGTGATAAGGTTTTTGGCGAGCGCTCAACGTGACTACTGACTTCTTCGTCACTGACGCCCCGGACTCCAACGACTACTTCCCCGACAATGGCTTCTTCCCCGACGTCGACAACCTCCTCGACGACATGGCTGGCAAGGACACCGACCCCAAGTCCAGTGCTACTGTTGCTGCTGTTCTGTATGTGTTCCTCTCCTTTCTGTTCGAGGTCCTGCCATAGTTCCTTGTTCTGATGTTTTCCCTAGATATGTTAGGTTCTACTTCGTATATGAAACTTGCCCTACTTTCTGCTCTAGATAAGCTTGGTTACAGGTCATATATGCAAATGTTATTTACCTTCTCCCTGTCAGATCACATGACTAGTTTTATCCTTGTTATATTAGTCATGCTTTATCTAATATTTCTGTTAATAAAAGCATTTGGTAAATTGCTCATATTTCCAACAATCCAAAAACCTTATTATAGGCGATTTACCCTGAGTGGTTTGCTTCTTCCATGAGACCTCCTATGTTTGAGGGTATCCACTATAAGAGGTGGCGTGTGAGAGAAGTCTTATGGTTTCAAATCATGAGTTGCTATGACGCCACTCTTGGCAAACTTGAAGGAGAATATGATGCTCAATAGGAACAAGCTTTTCAGAAAATGGATACCCTATTTAAGGCTGCTCTCTTGAGTGTTCTTGGTGAGAACATAGTTGATGCTTATGCGTCAATTGATAATGGAAAAGATATGCGGGACGCACTCGAGGCCAAGTTTGGGGTCTCAGATGCTGGCACTGAGCTGTACATCATGGAGCAATTCTATGATTACAGGATGACTGAAGAGCGCTCCGTGGTCGAGCAAGGTCATGAGATACAGTCACTTGCTAGAGAACTTGAGCACTTCAATTGTATGCTACCAGATAAGTTTGTTGCCAGAGGTATCGTCACTAAGCTTCCTCCTCCATGGAGGAACTTTGCTACCTTACTAAAGCATAAGAGGTAGGAGTTTTCTGTTCCGGATCTCATTGGTACTCTTGATGTGGAAGAAAAGGCGAGAGCAAAGGATAACCGTGCTCGAGGTATTGAGGGAGGTTCTAGTGCTAATCTGGTACAGAAGAAAAACTTCCAGCCCCACAAATTCAAGAAGGGCAAGTTTGATGGTAAAGCAAAGTTTGATGGGAAGAACAAGGCTGTACAACACATGAACTTCAAGAAGAATAATGACAAGAAGAAAGGTGTTTGTCATGTGTGCGGAGATCCTGACCATTGGTCTCATAGTTGCCCTAATCGTTATGACAAGCGTCATCTTGGGGAAGGCGGCAAGACCACTAATGTTGTCGTTGGTGACACAGACATGAAAAATGCTGGGTACGGTATATTTCCCACTATTCTTTCAGTATGCCATTCTCCTAATTGGTTGATTGACACGGGTGCTAATGTGCATTCGTCTTATCAGATCGCAGGGATTTCCACCGTGCTGATGGGCAACGGTTCAAGTGCTTCTGTTCGTGGTGTTGGCACAGTCGATCTAAAGTTTACTTCAGGGAAGATCGTGCGGCTGAAGAACGTGCATTATGTCCCCTCCGTCAATGAAAATCTTGTTAGCGGATCTCTTCTGTGTAGAGATGGCTACAAGATTGTCTTTGAGTCAAATAAATTTGTAATATCCAAGTATGGAACCTTTGTTGGTAAAGGCTATGAGTCAGGAGGCCTGTTTCGTTTATCCTTGTCAGATGTTTGCAATAAAGTTATTAATCATGTTTGCAACAATAGTGAATCAAATGTGTGGCATTCACGTCTCTGTCATGTTAACTTTGGTTGCATGTTGCGACTAGCCAAATTGAATTTAATCCCTAGTTTCACCACTGTCAAGGGATCTAAGTGTCAAGTTTGTGTGCAAGCTAAGCAACCTCGTAAGTCTCACACGACTGCGGAAATGAGAAATCTTGCACCACTAGAACTCATACATTCAGATCTATGTGAAATGAATGGTGCTTTGACAAAAGGTGGAAAGAAATATTTCATGACGTTAATTGACGACTCCACTAGATACTGCCATGTGTATCTTCTGAAATATAAGGATGAGGCTTTGAACTTTTTCAAGATCTATAAAGCTAAAGTGGAAAACCAACTTGATCGGAAAATCAATAGGCTTAGGTCCGACCATGGTGGAGAGTATTTTTCCAATGAATTTGATGCTTTTTGTGTGGAACATGGTATAATCCATGAGAGGACGCCTCCCTATTCACCTCAGTCAAATGGGGTAGCCGAAAGAAAGAACCGCACTCTAACTGATTTGGTTAACGCCATGTTAGACACATCGGGTCTCTCCAAGGCATGGTGGGGGGAGGCGATATTGACT